CCTGCCATCCTCCCCTGCTACCCAAGTCTATCTGACACCCTTCAGAGCTCAGTGTTCTCTAGGATGGATTCTCTCATCCACCTACAGAAGGTCAGGACCCTCTTCTGTGCTTCCACAGTACACTTGAACTTCCTCTTTTATGACACTCATCACGCTTTGTTATAATTATTTGTTTAATGTCTGTCTTCCTTGCTGGTCTGTAAGCCCATATATAATTTGCCATACTGATATTCCAAGGTCTTGGCATGGTTTCTGGCACATAGAAGGAGCTTGGAAATATGAATTACAGGAATGAGATGCAGAGGCCAAAGGACCAGGCAGCTCTTCCAAGAGTACATAGATTTATTCAGAACCCAGCAGTGCTCAAATGAAGGCACATGGTCATTTCCCCCAGCAGTGGCAGGAAGAAACAGAAAAAGCATGTGGGAGAGGAGATGGCCAGAGCACGGAAGAAGTTTATACATCTGATAATGGAGGCTCAGGAAGATGTGTGAAGTGAGGACTTAAGTTCTTTGGCTGTCTTCTTTGTTTAACCTGTAAACATATTTTTTTAAATGTAAGGGCAGATGTAAGAGAGAGGCTCCCCTCACTCAAATGTTCTGTAATCCCAGTCTTCCTACTAGGTAGTGCTTTTTGTCAGAATTGCCTAGGGCACATATTATAAATGTAGACTCATGGGCCCATATAGACCCCACTCAGAGTCTCCACCTTGTTATTTATGTATTCCCCAAACATAGCCCAATGCAGGGATGAATTACTCAACAAGTTTTTCTTGATAGATGAGTGAACAAGTGAATTCTGTAGGCACAGAAATGCATGACTTTGACTAAGGAGAAGAAAAGGGTTGCAGCTTCCCTATGGCTTTGGGTCACTTCCTTCTCCCTTCTGGGAGATAGGTCTGATGAACTATGGGAGCCCCATGAGTTCTTACTGTTTTCAAAGTCCACAGCACCAAGAACCTATACTTTCCATTTACCCTTTCTCTGTCTCCCTGAGAGGGGGAAGGGAGTTGAGATGAAAATTAACCACAACCCATGAGGTTTATTGTCAATTTTAATAGGAGGGGTGGAGTTGAACAGTTTTGAGAAACGTATAAAAAAACCTTTTACTTTTTTTTGCTGGAACATGATATGGTTTGTGCATAGCACATACATATTAAAAAAAAATAGAAGCGTCACGTTTCACAAGCACATAACTGAACAGCTTCTGGTTTTCCTACCCGTTGTACCCAAGCTCGAGGTCAGCTCTACACTGGGCCCAGCCTGAGGTACTAAAGAATGCACCAAAAGAGAAAATCACGTTGAGATGCAGCTGTCTGAGGCTGGAATTTCAGTAGTTCATGAGGTATACAAACATGGTTTGGTGTTGGCTGTCTCCATGTTGCATGAGATTCAGTATCTGGTTGGGGCAAAATTGCATCCTCCTCCTGCTTTGAGAAGAGGCATTATCTACTCAGATGTATGGGAAGACTGGAATATTTCTATCTATTCTTCTAGCCTTGTTCTAAACACTCCTATCTTTGGAGCTTTTCTGGGAGATAACAGGAGTAGCTGGCTTCTTGTGGGGAGGGAAGGAAGGAGCAACTGCTACAAACCCATTAGGTAGACAGAGGAGTTGTCACCTCCTCAGTGACAACTCAGTCTTTGGGGGAAAGCACAGGGACAAAAAGATGTAGGTTTTTTCAAGGTCATGTCCACATGAAAAGAGGCAATAGGGAAAGAGGGCAGACAGGACATCCTGGTGTCTTGGGATCCAGCAACCACATTTGGTAGCTGTGTTTGCCCCCGTGTCCATGCACAATGCAGCAAAGGCAATGTACATCAGACACTGGGAGGAAGGAAAGCTACAGCTCATGGACTGTTCCATGTCCTTCTTTCCTCAGGACTTGCATAGAGTGAGAACCTGAAGGACCTGATATCTTGAGACAGAAAAAGGGACCAGAGCCCACATGGGAAGAAGAGTTCCAAACTTCCCAGGATAAGACTGGGGACAGGAGAGAGTTTTAGCCCTGGATTATTGGTCTGGGGAGATACCTATATGTTTAAAGGGGAGAGAATTTTGTATACTGAATCAGACAGATGACAAGAGAAAATATGTTCTTCCTGAAAACACAGAAAGGCCCTGGACAAGGGCCTGGACTGTGTGTGAGGGTGTGGCAAAGGGAGAGGCTGTAAAGGGTAATGGTAAGGTATTAATTATAAAACTGTAGACTGCTTTGCAAGGAAAGTTCAAAACTGTACAGGAAGTAAGAATGGAAGAGGTATTAAAATTCAGTGAGATGGCTAAACAAGCGCAATCAACCACTTAAACAAGGCATTTAGAATTTTCTGTTTTCCTATGAGGTACATTCATAGGAAATCCCTGAAGAGCATGGAGATTTTAGTTGGGTTCTGCAGTTTCTCCTTGCTTTTGAGCTGACCTCTTCCCAGCTGAGAAGTCCATCTTCAAGGGTGTGCAGATATGCTGCCCTCTTCATTAATGGCTCTTGAAGAGGGAATAACACAGCCTCTGGGCTCTTGGAACCCCACGTTTGCATGGAGCTGCCAGAGAAGGTTTAGGACAGAAGAAAGGCCCACTAATGACAAAACTCTCTAAGCCAGGCTCATTGCTCAGAATTGCTCAGAATTCTTAGTATCTTCTCAGTGAGAAAGTGGGGCTCATCAGTTCCCCCAGCTATGGCAACATCTGCTGCAGCCTTTTGGATCCAATGGGCTGACAACTCACCTAAGGACTCAGTGGACATGTGACCAGGCAGGAAACAACTCTCCACACCTGTGCCCAGTAGCAGGCAAGAAGAGTCGGCAATGCCCCTTTGCAATCTTACTTTACTCCTGTCCCTTCACCCATTTCTGTGGATGGGGATGACTTTTCTTAAGACTAGATCAAAGAGAAAGCCCTTGAGGAAATTCCTTCCTATAAGAAAAATTTTAAAGTGTCAATCATGTAGCCCTCCATCCAGGGGTGATACACAGAACTCCTGATGTGGTGCAGGCTCTGGGCCCAGTTAGAGCAGCCACCCAGCTTCTTATATTCGTGTCAGTTGTAGAAATCGGATGTGCTCATATCGACTGCTGTGTAGTGGCTGAACATCCAGCTTGCTTGATCCTAGGCATTTTATATTTGCTGCTTTTCACTCCTACCATGAAAAATGGGAGTAGACATTTGGTAACTCCTTGTCAGGGTTTGGGAAATTTTATGAGCCTCTAGAGAGAGGCAGGAAAGGCCTAGCTGCCCAACGCCTTGCAGACTCGCTAGAAGATAGCTTTCTCTCCTGCCAAGTTAGCTCAAAGATCTATGAAGGGAAGAACTAATGCTTTGGGACTAAAACTTTTTTTCTCCTATCCAGTCAACCACCTGCCACCAGGATGGCACTCAGACATCCTGTACTTCCAGTTCTATCGGGAATGGACACACACCTTAGGTTCTGAGTGCCTACTTTCTGATGTGTGTCTTGCTAAAGGGACTGACTACACTGGACAAGACTTCTTTAGAAATAACCAGCTTTGTTTTCTGCCTCCAATCAGACTCATATTTCAATATTCACATAGTCAAGAGGAACCATTTTTTTTCCCCCTTACACTTGATCCAAGACCCAGCTCCTTCCAATTTCCACTCAAGGCTTCATTATGTCCACACGTGCTCCTGAGCTCCTACTGTCTGTGAAACCTTGGCTCACCTTGGCATGGCCTTTTCCTCCTCACCCAGCACATGTCTGTCCTGGTATTTGCAGGGCAGAGGTGGAGGCCAGTATGGTGTCTCTCCGTTGGACTGTCAACCTCCATCTTCAGCTCAGAATCCCTTCGCCCAGCCCTATCTATAGACGGATGCATCTGCAAATAGGGAGGTATGTTGAAGATGAAGGCATTTGCAGCAGATGAGGGATTGTCTTGCAGGCCAGGGCCCCGGGAGGAGCAGAGGGTGTCAGGTCATTTTGTAACTCGATGGTTCACATATGCCGAAAATATTTGCACTCAGATATGGCTCTCTCTGGTTTCAGATTTAGGAACATTCTGATGGTTCAGGAATCTGAAGGCTCCAGGCAGACCACATTTATAATCACTCAGGAAACCTCTGCTTTAAATACTCTCAAAGGACAGCAGGCAAGAAAGCATTGTACAGCGAGTTGCCACTTTGGCTTGGCTGTTTGAATTACAGGATTAGCACGTCTCTCCTACTGTAGGGAGTAAGAGGGGGCGAACTCTGGAGGTCATGGTGCTCGTTCGACTGCATCCAGGCCACAGTGTGTATGCGAAATGAGGGCGAGTGAGGAGGAAGTGAGAGTATCAGATGAGAACTTGGGTGAGTTTCCTGGACACAGTTGAAGAGGAATTATCATGTGCTGTCCAGAGTGCCTCCACTTCCTTCGTGCCCTATTTTGCACACCTCCTTCCTTGCCAAACAGGTTGCCATTATTAGGATCCTTGTCATCTGAGGTTAAAATAAGACCTGGTTCAAAGTGAGGAAAAGTTATGGGCAGGCAGTCTGGCTCTTGCTTGTTCTTGGAGCCACACACAGCACCAAGCCCTCCAGGCTGAATGGCTTACCACAGAACATCCAGTCCTTTCTGCTACCTCCGGCAGACCTTCCTCAACTGCCCTGGACACTTTCTCCCAAGAAGGAGACCCCTTCTCTCCCAGCTTTCTTGAGAATGCATGAAGGCTGGGGTGTCTGATAACTCTTTTTCTGGTTTGCAACTAAATTTTACCCCCTCCCCCTGCCCTCTCTGCACTTAGGACAGCTGCTCTTTACCACCCATGCAGCGAGTGCCTCTGAATGGAAGGACGACTGAAAAGAGGCAGGATAGGGCACCCATCAATTCTGCTGGTTTGACAAGTGACATTCTTGCACACAGATTCCAGCAGTGATGGTGCTGGGAGAGAGAAACCTGATGCTTTGAAATGCCTTTGCTCTGAGAATTACACAAAGACGTGTGGATATACACTGACACATACCCTGGCCCTTCCCTGTGCACAGGGTCACATTCCACAAGTGTTATCTCTCCCCAGGTGAGGTCAAAGCACAGCCTCCACTGCCATTCTAAGATTCCAGCTGCAACCCTCACTTGGGTGGGTTACATGCCATGGGGTCCAGTGGCCAAGAAAACCAACTCAGGTCTCCCCCATGCACAAGATAAGCCTGATGCAGAAGTCACGGGGAAGAAAGGGTGTCACTTGCTTGCACAAAATTCCAGTAGGAAAGATGCAGCTGTCAACCTGTGAGCCTCATTTGTGGGTCCTTATATCCTGGGAAGGAAGTGAGTAACAGTCATGATTGGGGATACCTTGCTACCTCGTTTTACCCGTCCATATTTGCTCAGTGCAATGTAGGTCCCTCGGTACAAATCTGACTCATAGGCGTTGTAATTGTTGGGCAGGAGAGTTTCTCTGAACTTGCACTCCTCTTGGAAGCTGGGCTGTGAAAGAAATGGACAAAGAGCAGACTCAATGATAAATGCTGGTTGAGATACGTAGAGTAGGCCCCTCTGCTGATGTCCCCTCCCTTCCCTCTGCAAGACAACCAACACAGAGTCTAAGCCAGCCTCACCCTCAGAGGGCAGAATCATGAAAGGTTAGGACAGGAAGAGACTTCAGAGCCCACAAGATTCCTCTTCACTTTCCCTCCAATGAGGAAGGCAAGGCCAGGGAGCTTAGATAGATAGTCTGTGTCCCGTGGGATGGGATGGGGATGAAGCTACACTACTGAGGCCTCCTGACTTCTAGATTGAGCACTTCTACCGAGACCTTAGAGGATAACATATTCCATTGAGAGGATGGACAAGGGAAGGCTGCTTTCTCAAGTCCACGCTGAGAGTTTGGGGAGTAAGATTGAGACCTGGGGTTGTAGGAGTGAATTTTCTACTTCCCAGTTGTGTGAGCTGGGGCAAGTCCCTTCCTTCTCTAACTCAGCTCCTTTTTTTGCAAACTGTATATGGTGGGGGGCAGGTGAGGTGGAGAGCCAGATGAGCTCTTAAGTCCTTGCCAGCCCAGTATTTTTCTTTCCACTCATGGCTCCGAGGCCGGATAGATCAGGGAAAATTGAGACATGGGAGACAGCAGCTAGGAATTCAGAGATAAGCACTATATCAGTAATGGCTTGGTTAAAACATACAGGCACTATTTTCTTTGCTTTAAGTTTCATAATACCTCAACAAGCTGGGACATTTACTATAAAGAAAAGAAAAAAAGGAAAAAGAGCAGTGTTCTCCCCCTGACCTTGTTCACTTGCCCCAAAAATAATTAGTGCAGTCTGAGACCTGAGCAGGGATATCTTAAAGAAAGACACTAATCCTAGGAAAGAACTCTTGGGAAAATGACTCCTCTGGGCATAAAAAGTGTCTATAGAGAAAAATATTTATCACAAAGATAGACACCTGTCTTGAAGGGAGCATCTAGCCGGACCTATCCTTTGTTTAAAGGAATGTTCAAGAATCTATGTCATCGTGACTTAAATTTAACAAGTCAGTCAACCTTCAAATCATTGGGCCCAATTGATAAGACACTAGAACAACAAAAGCAACTAATTATACCAGGTGTCAGAACAAAGGGGAACACTTTTTGTAAGGTAAATTCAAGCCAACTCCCAACCCTCTTTTTCACTATAAATACCCCTGATGTTAAAACGCTCATTGCACCTGGCATCAGATGTACCGACACCCATGTCTATGTTTCTATCATTCCTTTGTTTTGCTTTACTAATAAACTTTCTTGGTCTGTACCTTGATGTGTCCTGAAATTATTTTTTGAGACAAGATAACGAACTTGGTACCCAAGGGCCAGGCAGAGGTCCACTCCCTTTTGGAGACCTCCTCCCTGGAGCATCACCAGTTCTGGTAACAGTTCCTCAGTCTCAAATTGCTATCCTTTGGTTTTGACTTTGAGACCAGGAGGTGTGTGCCACCTCCTAGACATTCATCAGTCTCCAGGGCCATGCAAGGACAGAAATGGAGAGAAATAACAATTTTCGTGGGGAAAAGAACCAGGTTCCCAATGTGACAGGTGGTGCCCAAGAGGCTGGGGACAATAGAAAACGGGCTCCTTCCTTGCTAATTTCGTAGAGGACCATATGTGGACCTCCCTGTTCAGGAGGTGAATGTCAAACTTCCTGTCACACATCAACAAGTTCATTCACAATAAATCACCCAAATCCTCCATTCTTCCTAGAAAAAGGAGCCTTTTCCTCCCCAGCATATGTGATCCTGGGTTGCATGCCTGGGTTGCTGCTCTTGGGGAGCTCATGGAGATTTCTGTGCTCTAGAGAAAGAGAGATTGTCATGGCAGCCAGGAAGCCTGGAATCTAGACTTTAAAAGAAATATAGAATGAGGCTGGGTGTGGTGGTCCACCTCTGCAATTGGTACTCAGAAGGTAGAGATCAGGAGGATCATGGTTTGAGGCTAACCCTGGGCAGAAAATTAGTTAGACCCCATGTCAACCAACAAGCCAGGTATGGTGGTGGTACACAACTGTAATCCCAGCTACTGGGAGGAACAGATAGGAGGATGGGTCCCCAGGCAAAAATGTAAGACCCTATCCGAAAAATAACTAAAGCAAAAATGGCTGGGAGTGTGACTCAAAAGTGCCTGCCAGCAAGTGTAAGGCCCCAGTTTAAAAACTCAGTACATCAAAAAAAGGAAGGAAAAAAAATATAGAATGAAACCAAAGAAATAGGTGGAGTATAATTTTGGCCTCCTTCCTGCTGACCAAGGCCATCTGCTATAAAAATGTCCTCCGACCTCCAAAGGAATCCTACTGTGAGCAGCCTGGGAATGAACGGGCAGCCCTTCCTGGAGCTCTGAAGGGACGGTGAAGAGTCCTCTCATCAGAGCCCTCGGGAAGACCTCTCTGACAACATTTAAAATAGACTGAGCCCTGTGCATGTTTTTCTTTCCCCATATACTCCAAGATTCCGGGAACAAGGACTGTGTATTGGACACAGAAGAGTGATTTAATAAAGACCATACTGAAACACAAGGATACCCTGGCATGGCAGGAGAGGCTATCCATCTTGGCCGTGGGAAGACTTCAAGTACCCTCCTGAGTGGTTTCCCTCCCCTCTCTTGCTCTTCCTTACTGTTCACAAAGCACTTTCACATGTTAATCTGTCTGAGATAAATGAGAAAATTTTCACTAGCTCCTTCATACATATACCCATACACCATAGAGAGGGGCTTGGTTTCCCTCACCATGGGTGCTGGGTAAGTATTAGTGGATGAAGGAAGGTGTGCCCTACAAGGAGGGAGAATAATGGAATCAAAGACGGCTAAGGGAGAGACATGACATAACTTTGACTCCAGACTGATGATGAGGTCCTCATCTTACTCAGCTACATGAACCTGGGTGAGTTGTTCAATTGTTCAACCTCCTAAGCTGCATTTCTCTCCTCTGGAAGTGGGAACAGTGAGCATCATTTTGCTATAGAACCGCAGTGAACATCAATGGAAACAATGCCTGTGTCCAATGCCTGGCAACAGTAAAGTAGAAAGTCATATTGTTACTATTTTTATTACTGTCCAGTGGAAAAGTCTGAAGAGGCTTTTCCTCTCTCTGCATCACCAGTCCCATAAGATATGCTGTGGGTTTTGGACAATTCAGCATTTAAGCTCTGCAGGTTTTGACCGAATGACTGGAGACAGTGAGCTTGCATGGGGAGAGAACAGAGGGTGGAGGAGCCGTATACCCACTTTGGCTCTGTGCACAGGTGTAGAGTCCATCAGAGAACTTAAGATTGAGAAGCCCTCCCTAGTACTCAGGAGCCCTGGTACTAGGAGAAAGTGGGCTCTGGATTGATTGTAAGTGATAAATGAGCAATAAAGCTATGCTAATTAAAAGTCTGGTACAGACTAGGGAACAAAACAGTCCAGCAGCCAACCAAACACATAAAAATGAATCAAAATGCAAATAAAATAAAATTAAAATGAATCTGAAGTGAATATAAAGTAAAGTGGCATTTCAAATTAGTGGAGAAAACATAGTGTCAGAACAACTGGATAATATAATAATTAATAACCCAGAAATGGTGGCTCACACCTGTAATCTCAGCTATGCAGGAGGCAGAGACAGGAGGATTGCTGTCCGAGGCTGGCCAGCCCTGGGCAGAAGTGCGAGACACTATCTGAAAAATAACTACAGCAAAAAGGGATGGTAGAATGCTTGCCTAGCACGTGCAAGACTCTGAATGCAAATCCCAGAATTGCCAAAAAGTAATAATAAAATTTAGCTGGGCATGGTGGCTCACACCTGTAATCCATCCCAGAACTCAGGAGGCTGTGGCAGGAGGATCTCCTGGTAGAAGGTAGTTTGGGCTACATAATGAGACCCTGTCTTCAAACAAATAAACAAGTGAACAAAAAACAAACCAGAACAACCCAAAGCAACAAAACAAACAAAAATAGTGATAATAAAGTTTGATGTGTGACTTAATTCCTTACATCTAAATAAATTCCAAAAGAAGCAAAGACTTGAACATAAAAAAGACAACCTTTAATGTTTAGGAAAAACTTAAATAATCTCAGAATCAAAGATCTTTCTAAGTATACACACATAAAAAATCAGAAACCATTAAAAAAACTAACAAAGTTGACTTCTGTCAAAAAATAATGCCTCGAAGGACAGAAAAATGTAAATAGTAAACTGGATAAAATATTTACAATGCACAACATATCAAAGAGAACATTTTGTTACAATAGTCATAACCCTTAACTTCTTGGAAAATGAACCTTTATAAACAGAAAATTCACAGTGAAGGAAACATACAGAGCATCTAAATATAAAAAGATTGCTGAAAAGAGAAACACAAATCATAATTGAAAAATCACATTCCTTTTTTTTTTTTTTGCAGTGCTGGGATTGAATCTAGGGCTTTGCCCAGGCTGGCACATCCCAACCACAAGAAATCATATTCTCAATAAATGGTCAGATTGCAAAGAGAAAAGCATTTGATATTATGCTTTGATTGGTGAGGGTAGAGAGACAAGGAAATCTCACTTAATGTCCTTTGGTCTGTATATAGTTATAACCTTATAAAGAGCAATTTGACTATATCTACTGGAATTTTAAAAAATGGAGAGAGCACATAATTGGCCATCCCACTTCTAGGAATTTATCTCACTGTTATACTCCTACATGTACACAAAAGTTAACGTAGAATTATATAGACCAAAACCAACCGAAGTGTCTCCAAAGGGGGGGTGGATTGAAGCCATGGGACACTATAATCTCTGAAAAGGTAAGAAACCTCTTTGCACAGGGACACGAAATTGTCTCAAAGACTGACTGCTAAACAAAGATGATGCAAGGTTTGAAACAGTAGTAGGCTCTGCCGAGGAGATTTTTAAAAAAATGATACCTGTTCACACACACACATGTAGGTTATTCCTGAAATGGCCCACAGGGAACAGGTAACACTGGCTGCCTCTG